TAATAAAAATATAATAATTATACCTTAACTTATAAATACGCAAGTTAAAAAATTCTATGATAAATTCATTAGAAGGGAGATAGTGCAAACTCTTATGTTCTAAAGGATGAGTAATACACCTTAAGCAAGGTCTTAAGTTTGAGTATTGTCAATGGAGAAATTTGCGTTGAGAGAGCTTCTCCCCTAATGTGGTTCGACGCGGCTTAATTCCAGATTAATTGTGATCCAATATGATTATCGAATTTTGAGAGATTAATATCAATAATAAAAAAAAAAAAGAAAAAAAGAAAAGAGATAAGTAATACACTCTCAATGTAGTTCAATTTAAAGTAGGTGCCTATAGCAAGAGGGTTTTTAATGGGAACTTAGGAACTTCACCTATTCGAGCATAAAAGAGCCGCACAACTTCATAGCTGATGGATGCCTCCTTCTTCCTTTTTCCCTTTTCTTTTTTTTTTTTTTTTTTAACTTTTATTTTTGGTTATTTAAGTTTAGATAGGACTAATTTTTACTCCTAGGATCTTAAGCCCACATTATCCATTACAATCAATAAAATTAATTTTCTTAAGTATTAATTCCTAAATTTAAATCTGAACTTGATTTAAATCCAAACTTTAATTTAAAGTGGATGCATGTATTAACCTCTGGATTTTTCTATTAGGATCTATATTTAGCACGTATGCGACTCCCGGGTAATACAAGCCGGTGGTACAAAATAAATCAATAACATTGGTTGGATAAAAGGAAACATCCAACCTACTACCTACGGTATAAAAATTCCACGTAACTTTAAAGTGTTATTTTAACATTTTACATATTACTTGACTTTAATAATAATTGTTATTTATTAAAAATTAATTATCAATTATTGTCAATAATTTACATAGTTCAATGATAGTAATCTTTTTGCGCATTACTTACGCTGAAAGTAAAGTTTTAAATTTGAGTTACATATATTATGTGGATAACTTAGAATAAAATATTAAAGATAGTTATCTCTTATTATATAATTAATATAAATTATGATTATGAAAAAGTTATCCCATATGATTTTAAACAGAATACACTCAAAGACTTGGAAGCCAATAAAACTAAGCAGAGGAGGACTTGCTCTATCTCATTTATTCTTTACTGATGATTTAATGCTTTTTTGTGAAGCTTCACATTCTCAGTTATCAATGGTGATAAACTGTTTGATGGAGTTTGCAAGCTATTTAGGTTTCAAAATTAATTTGGCACAATCAAAGCTTTTTGTTTCGCCAAATATTCAATTTGTTGTGGCTCGCTCTTTAAGCATTTCATGTGGTATTCCACTTACGTCAAACTTGGATACTTATCTAAGGGTTCCAATAATTCATGGTAGGAATTTTGCAGCACAGTACAAGTATATGATTGAAAAAATGCAGTTAAAATTAGCCAGTTTTTTTTTTTTTTTGGTAGAATAAAATTAGCAAGTTGGAAACAAAATACATTGAGTTTAGCAGGAAGAAGGATTTTAATCCATTCTGTAACTTCATCTATTCCTGCATACACTATGCAAACTGTCTTATTGCCTCATAGCATGTGTGATGCAATAGACAAAATGATCAGGAACTTTCTTTGGGGCACAGAGACTAGGAACTCACGGCCCCATCTTGTTAACTAGGAGGTGGTTTGCAGAAGTAAGGATCAAAGAGGCCTTGGATTGTGAGCAGCAAGGGATAACAATTGTGCATTGGTCGCAAAATTGGGTTGGAGAGTTCTGGTAGGGGATGAAGCCCCTTGGTGTAAGGTCATGAGGCAAAAATATCTTCGCACAAGTGCTTTCCTTTCCGCAGAAGCTAGTCCAAGGTCGTTAGTTACTTAGAGGAGCATTATGTAGTGCAAAGATGTGTTAGAATTTGGGTTGCAGTGGCGGATTGGTTTGGGTGATTCTATAAATTTCTGGAAGGATTATTGGACTTATAGTTCACCCTTGTTTAATTTCATCACAGGTCCAGTCGTTATGGAATCATTAACAATGCTGGTTTCTCAAGCCATTAATAGCTCCATGAATTGGGATAAGGAGTTTTTAGCTAACCTTCTACCGCCAGCACAAGTGAATGAAATTCTGTCCATTCCATTGTCTTCAACTGCCAGTGTTAAAGACAAAATAGTGTGGAAATATTCTAATGATGGCTTCTTCTCTATTAAGTCGGCTTTTCACCAAATTTTACAACAAAAGGCACCAATTCCACTTCAAGATCAGAATTGGCTATGGGTGTGGAAGCTTAGATGTCTTGAAGGAGTTAGGATGTTTTTATGGCTACTATTACGCAATAGAGTTTTAACTAATGCTGTTCGTTTTGAACGGCATTCGGCCTCCTCTTCAATCTGTCCTCGTTGTGAAGGGGATCCAAAGACACTGTTGCATCTTTTGCGGGATTGCCCTTTTGCCACCCAAGTCTGGACTCTACTAGGATTGGGTGATAAGGAGTTTTTTCAATTGCCTTGGCCGCACTGGATTAAAAACTCATCCAGGAAAGCTACTCGAGTATAGCATGGGGAGATGTCCTATGATGTTCTTTTTTTGTCCACTATCTGGTAATTATGGAAATGCAGGAACCGCTTCGTTTTTAACGGTGAGAATATATCAGCAGCTGCACTTTGTGATACAATTTGTGATTATGCGTGGGACACATACAAAGCAATGGTATGCAATATCTTTGTTTCGATGAGAGAACCAAGATGGATATGTTGGTATCCACCAGATCCGCCCTTTTACAAACTAAATACAGATGGTTCTCGAATACAAGACACTAGATTTGCAAGTGCAAGAGAGGTGTTGCGAGACCAGTCAGGTGTTTTTATCCAGTGTTATTTGGTAAACATTGGTTTAGTTTCCATCTTTTTAGCTGAACTATGGGACTGTAGAAAAGGACTGATCTTATGCAAGAATAAGGGTCTTAAGCATATAGTTGTTGAAATGGACTCCTTATCTGCAGTACAGGTTATAAATGGCCAGAAGGAGCAAGATAGTCTTTCAATGGTTCTTGTGTCTTACATCAGAAGGCTTAGATTTGAGTTTGATTCCATTATTATTCAACATACACCTCGTGAAGCTAATTCGGCGGTAGACTTTTTGGCTGGAATTGGGCATAGTTTGCCAATTGGAACAACTGTCTTTGATTCTCCTCGGTCTGGACTGAATGCCTTTTTAGAAAGGGACATTTTAGGTGTTGCATTTTTGCGACATTGATTAGTTAAATTTTTCTTCATATGTAACAAAAACAAAATATAATCAATATAAAAAAAATTATCAATTATCAATTATATAAAAATATATATATATTCCAAAAACTATTCCAAGCACCCATTAGGTGGGCGATCACGTTGTGATATAAAAAAATATATATAAATACCCATGTAATTGCAAACGTCACTATCATTTCAACCGTTTTTCTGTTTGAGTTTCCTTCTGATTCAATCTTTGAAGGCATTTCGTTTCTCAGATCCAAATTAAACCCATTCTAGCTAGATCCGATCTGGCATTGCCTTTTTCTCAATCCAAAATCCTCCTCACCATTCTTCTCTGCATAAGCTAAAATGGCGACGATGGAGAGCTTGATTGGCCTCATTAACAAAATCCAACGAGCCTGCACGGTTCTCGGTGATCATGGTGGCGAGGGAATGTCCCTCTGGGAAGCTCTTCCCTCCGTTGCTGTCGTCGGTGGTCAGGTCAGGTCACTCTCAAATTAAACATACATTTACATTTACCTGTTTGGGGATTTCAGTTTTCATACTCACCACATTCTCTTGCTAATTGCTGTTGCTTGGAATCAGAGTTCCGGCAAATCTTCGGTTTTGGAGAGCGTAGTGGGGAGGGATTTCCTTCCTCGTGGATCCGGTAGATTTATTCTTTTCTTCAACGATTTTGATTTTGTTTCCATTTTGCTATTATACGGGGGAATATAATCTTCTTTGTTTGATGGTGAAAGAAATGAATGTTTTCAATTTTTGGGTAAAGCTATATGATTAGTGGCCGAAATGTGGGAAACGCAGATCATGATTTAGATGTAACTTTCAGCTTTTCTATGTGGGTCGGAGGATCATTTAAGTACCTGTTTGGATCATAATTGAAGTGTTAATCGCCCGTGTTCTCTTATAAATTTCGCTCTATCAGCATCACTATCAAACTGACTTTTCAAAATTTGTAATTACAAGGCATCATAAGAAGTTGATAGTTAGGAGTAACGTGCTGGTTTTGTCTGAAATTATGTTTTTCCTTTTCATTTCTTCTTCTGAAAGGTATTGTTACACGGAGGCCATTGGTGTTGCAACTTCATAAGTTAGATGATGGGAAGGCTGAATATGCAGAGTTTCTCCATGCTCCAAAGAAGAAATTCACTGATTTTGGTAACTCTATTATGATGTTCAGCAGTTTAACTTTGGCATTTATATAGCAAACTTGTGTTCCTTTGGTTTTGAATTACCAAAAAAAAACACTTCATTTCCTTTTAAAGCTTTGTATGCTCTTGTAATAATATGTATTGTAAATCTAGGTTGCTTGACTTGAATTATTTGTGGTTCTTTAGATATAATGATGCACTTTTTGGTCAGGGCAAAAGAAAAAAAGATGATGCACTTTTTGTTGCTTATTATTTACAAATGTTGAGGCAGATTTCTGTCACGAGACTTGTAGGATAAAAATCAAGGATAAAATTTCTTTCTTTAGGGCCTGTCTCCTTTTTTCAAGAGCTGGAATCAATGTGGAATCTAATATATAAACACTAATAGTTTAGACTGTGATTTCAATCCTTTATTTGGGTCTTTCAACTAGGATAAGTCTTCCTTCCTTTTTATTTATTTATTTTTTTTGTGGTAGAGGCGAAAAGCACCTCACTGAACAGTTACTATGATGATGATCTTGGAAGAATGCTGGCAATTCCCTTTGTTTATGAAGTGTCTTTGTTTTCTAATCTTTTATTGCAAATTGATTCACTAGATGCAGTGATATGCATATTAAGGTTATTCAATATCCAAAGGAAGCTGGTCTAGTCATAAATCTAGCTTTGATTGGAATGAACTTGAAATTACTTTCCTTTGCCAGCTAAGTATAATTGCTTTCTCTTTGTTTCCCCATTCTTGTCTCCTATGGATGCGGGTTCCTGTTCAATGTTTTCGTGCTATATATAACTGTAGTCAGTTTCTCCATACTATTGCAGCTTTATGTCTTTTACAAACATTATTAAACATCTAGTCTTGGCATTCTTTTATGCACCAATTGCTGCATTATATATAACAACTTTTCTCAGCTAACAATTGTAATCCTTTGGTTTACATCAAAGCTGCTGTGCGTAAGGAAATTTCAGATGAAACTGATCGTATAACAGGGAAGACAAAGCAAATCTCTAATGTTCCAATTCACTTGAGCATATATTCTCCAAATGGTATGTACTTAAAGTATCTCCTCACTAAGTTTTGCAAGGGTGTAGGTCTGACTAACAATTGAAAGAGTATGGTATTTGACGTATTTGCCATTTTGTTCTATTGATGCTTGTTCCATATTAAGTTCGTATAAGACTTATATGCTTGACTTTGGACATCTGTGCCCTTTTGTTCTTTTGATGCCCATGTTAAGTTCATGTAAGTTTATATGCCTAACATTAGAAAATCAATATTTTGTGGTCCTTTTTTTCTTTTTCTTTTTTTTCCTGAGAGAAATTTTTGATATTCTGGGAGTTAGATTTCAATTCTTTTGGTTTATTGGAAAAGAAGTTAGTGCTTAGCTATTATATAATTTGAACCCTTGACCTTAACCCCAAAATTAAGGTTTTTGTTAAAGGGAATCCAACCTAAAACCAATTGGCAATAGATGTGGGATAGACTCATCTAAGGACACAGGTTTTCACTTGATTAATGGATGTGATTTTTTCCCACTTAACCATTTTGAAGTATTGAAGTTCCATCTGTAAACTCACTATTTTAGTTTTTGATCTTTCTAGTCTGCTTCAGAACTGTTAAATTCTGGCTGAGCATTGCATAGAGATCAGAGAAAAATTCACCATTGAATATAGGACTATTATATGATCAACTTGTAGCTTATAGATGAAAACAGAACACTGCTTGACAAATTTTGTCATTGCAGTCAATTTAACATGAAATGCATCAACTTTGGGAAAATTTTGTTAAATTTTCCATTTTCTTCTCTTTTATTATTCTTTATGCTAGTTTCTTTTGATTATAATATAGTAGTCATCGGTAGTTTTATCTGTTGTCATCCACTTATGTGCTTGCTCTGTGTTGGAATGCTGTGCTTGTGGTCAGTGCTTTGGTTTTTTAACCTATACTAACATTGCATAGCGAACATTGTTCAGAAAAGCAGTATATATTGATGTTGAATTTGTATTCTGGCTGGTGCATTTTTCTGCAATTTATATTATCATTTCAGAATCATTTCAATGTGCCTCACTTCTTATGCACAAGTTACCAGTGATAGGATAATGGTCTTAAAAATTAGTTGTTTAGTATCCTGATCTCAAAAATAAACATAGGGGAGTGTTTAGATTAGCTTTTCAGTATATTTCACACCAGCACTTCATTGCTTTCTTTGGATATTAGAGCTTTGGGTAAACTTTTTTTGATACTGCTATGGCAGAAAGTTGTCACCAGCCAGAATGCATTTGGCCAAAAGCAAGAAGCTTCTATTTGGAAATTTAATAGAACTTTTGTAGAGTTGAAATACTGTTACACAATTTAAAAAATTAATGGGCTAACTCTAACCTTAATCAAATTAATTATTATTAGAAGTTTGTTATTTCCAGTTATTGTGACATGAAAAAAAAATTTTTAATTTATTAATTGTTTTTTAATTAAAAAATATTTAGTAGATATTGCCCATAGTTTATTAAGAAAAAAAAGGAATTCTCTTAATCATATTCTTTTTTTTGGAAACTAAAACTCTGTTATAAAAGGGAGGTGAAAATATGAGGAGAACGAACTTAGATGGAAAAGAGGATGAGAATTAGACTAATTAGAGTAGAGAAGTAGACATATATATATATATATATATATATATAAAAGATTTTGGTTCAAGAACAAGGTAGAGCTTAGTGGATGGACTTAATTTCAATTCAACAAAACATAATCAAAGCTAATAAATAACAGCTTCTGTATAGACTCTAATATCCTTATATGATTCCTAATAGAATTTTTCATAAAAAAATGTAATCAGATCGTCATAGAAATAGGGAACTAGTAGCCTAAAATAATATAACTTCCCCAGATACTAGAATTACATTGAAGTTGCAAATTAACCCCAAATAATCATAATTACACAAAAATCGTACATAACATAAATAAGTCTTCCAAGTTAAATAAAAGAAGTCAAATAAAACATGATAAATTTTTCCTCAGTTCCTTTGTTTCTTTTTGGCTCAACATAGTTTAAATGCATCATGAGACATAATATTATTAATAGAAATGTTGATCCAGGATATTATGGTTTGTATGAAAAGAAATTTTTTGTATGTGACTATATCCACACGTAATGGACATGCACCCTCAACTATTCATGTAGGCTTCATGCGGCTTAGGGAGGTTTTAGCCCTATAATTTTTTATTTATATAATCTAGGAATATGGACTATTTCTCAGGGTTGGAACAAATAGAAGGACTGCAAGCCATTGATATTATCTTTTGGCATTCATTCTATAGGTATTTGTTTACTGCATTCATTCTATAAGTATTTGTTTACTGCATTCATTCTATAAGTAATTGTTTACTGCATTCATTCTATAAGTATTTGTTTACTGCATTCATTCTATAAGTAATTGTTTACTGCATTCATTCTATAAGTATTTGTTTACCTAAACACAAATACCTGCTTACACACATTTATTCATTCATATAGTAGACACACAAACTGGTCTGCATGAACATATGCCTATGGTTGTAGAACTTAACATGAGCAATAGCAGTAAAGGAAAAGGGGAAAATGGAAAGAGATATATGTTGCTGTTAATGTGATGATTGTTGTGGACCAAGGTCATAATACCTTTTGAAGTTCAAGCTAAGATATGAAAATTTATGTTAACAATGCCTTTCTCAATCTGGATGTATTTGACATTTTTAATTTATTAAAACTAATTATGTCAGGACGACATTGTAATTATTACTTTATCATTATTCATTACTCATTATATTTTATGGTAAGGTAAATTCCTGAACGTTGATATTATGAAACTTGGATGTTGTTGTGTAATGCGTAATAAAAATGTCAACACTTAAATTTAGTTTTGAAACCAAGTTAGTTTTCTTGTTTAGATGCTACCTTCTTTTTCAGTGATACTGGAATATAATTGGGTCCTTTTGCAGCAAATCAACTCAAAAGTCGTGAATATAGATGGTTAACACAAATGAAGTGAAACATTTAGATTTAGTTTATTTTTAAATTGATGGTCCATAATAAGTTGCTCTTTGAATTATGTTATCAATGTAACCTTTGGCTCTCTTTAATGACTGGGCTAGCTTTTAGATGCGAAGCGCTGGGGTTGTTTCCAGTAACATTAGATATCACTGCAGTAACAGAGGGAATAGCTATGAGGAGCTTTAAATGGGATGTTATTCGTCTTTCTAATTTTGTATTTTGTTGTCTCTGTTTCGTACTTTGAGTACATCTAGTACCCTTTCAGGTTCTATTAGTTCTTGTTTTATGACAATATGGTTCGTGATTTTGTTGTGCAGTTGTCAACTTAACCCTTGTAGATCTTCCCGGCTTAACAAAGGTTGCTGTAGGTAATGATAATCACAATTTCTATCAGACAATCTTTGGCAATACACATCTTGTTTAACTTGGGAGGATTTAATAATGACATTGCCACTTTTGTAATTATTACTTTTGCAGAGGGACAGTCAGAAAGTATAGTTGAAGACATTGAAAACATGGTCCGTTCTTATGTTGAGAAGGTGAGAAGACTTTTTAATATCTTTGGTGTTGACTCAATGCGTCAAATGAGTTCCATAATCCAATAGTACTGAATTTGATTCAACCCAATCGCCAACTTTTTCAAACCACAATCACAAAATGTATAGAGATGTAAGAATAACAGGACACACTGATTTTATGTATTCAAACCACTATCATAATAATAGCAAGACATAATGATTTTTATAGAGTTGCAATTCAAATTTCACGTGTGCTTGTAAGATGTTGCAGTGTTTAGAGAATCTCAAGTTTTTATAGCCTCATACTTGAAATTTGCTGTTACTAACCATTAGGAGTCCATTTCTGCTGAGTTGGATCAGTTTTGACCATTGTAGAAATATGGTTCAGTCGATTGAACTCAACCTTGGTTGACTAAGTGGCCATTTTGTAAATATCTGCAAAGCTGTCAGTTTGAATTTTTAAAGCACATTGACTAAGTGCGAAAGTTGTAAATATCCTGAAAGCCAAAAGCCTTTTGTATTTCCATTACTCTTTTGTTGACTGAGCTTCATTTTAGTTACCTTTGGCATCATTGAACATCATTTTAGTCACCTTTAGTATAACTTTAGTCAACATTTAATTAACTTAGTGACACATTTGTAAATACATTGAAAGCTTTCTGGACCTCCACTCAATTTTTTTCTTTTGGAGCCTTTAGTTGACTGAGCTCACTCTTAGTTGACTGAGATTGAATTTGTTGAATGGGGTACTGTTCCTGGACCGAGCTTGAGTTTCTTGGTTTTTCTCATTTCTCCTTTAATCAACTGAGCTAGCCCTTAGTCGACTAAGCTCTGTAGCAGTTTTTTATTTTGAGCACTTTGTTTTGGCATTTTCCACACTTAAATCTTGTAGCCAATTTTCTGCACACTTGAAAAAATTCTTCAAAATATTTGAAGGTTTTTGTTTTCATCAAAATCATCTAGGAGCAACATCTGGTATACATGCTTTCACTAAAGAATGCCAATTCAGATCAAGGTGAAAGTTCTAAGAGCATTAGAAAGACAATATGCATGACTAACTGCTCAAACAAGCCATCTTGATTCTGAAAAGCAGTTTTCTATTCATCTGTGAGCCCAATGTGAATATGATGATAGCCACTATGCAGGTCTTTGTTGGAATACCAATTAGAACCAGCTAACATGCAACATATTATCAAGCCTAGGAATAGAAAACCTATATTTTATGGTGATTTTATTAGTGACACAACTATCAATTGTGTACATATATCCTGCAAGACCCAGCCTCAGTTATTTTAAAATTTGATATTTGAATAATTTTGCCATTAAAAGTATTTGATTTTCAGTTTTAATTTGATTTTGTACGTCACCTTTTCCTTGCAACCAGAAGTTGTTGTAAACTTTGTATATGCTTGTGCGCTTGACATCCAATTTGACATCCAATGAAGATTCTCACAAACGAGTCTGATCCTTTTTCATTTCCTAAACCTGTCACATTATCGTATAATTGGTTGCTTCTGTTACTCAGTTTATCTTATGAAACGCTCAAATTTTGTAGCCTAACTGCATCGTATTGGCTATTTCCCCTGCTAATCAAGATATTGCCACTTCAGATGCTATAAAACTTGCAAGAGAAGTTGATCCTACTGGTACGAAACTAGGCCTTTTGCTTGGCTGTTCTTCCGTTACTTAGAAATCTTATGAAATCAGAACATTTTGATTATAAACAAAAATGTTTACATCTTTATTATCTTTGTTGTATTTAGGTGAAAGAACTTTTGGGGTGCTTACAAAACTTGATCTTATGGACAAGGGAACAAATGCACTGGATGTATGGATTTTGACAAATACTTCTTTTTTCACTGCATCATAAATGTCAGCATTAATAGGAAATGGCTAAATATATACTGAAGTACACTGGTTTTTTGAGCAAGTGTGCCATATGAAGTTATGGTTGCACAGAAGTAGACGTTTTTGCTACATCATCTTATTATACATAGCATAACACATTTGACCTGTTGCTTATGGCAAGTAATTTTTTCTTCGGTTTTTTTTTTTTTATTTTTAAATTTTGTTACGTATTTATCATTTATGTGGCAGTGTCATGTGCATGTCAGCTGGAAAAATTCCTGTGTAAAACTTATATATGCATACAGAAATGCTCAATTACAAACATTGATAGTACTGCATATGGATGTTTAAGGTTCTTGAAGGAAGGGCATATAGGCTACAACATCCTTGGGTAGGAATTGTGAATCGTTCACAAGCTGATATCAACAAGAATGTTGATATGATTGTTGCTCGTCGAAAGGAACGTGAATATTTTGAAACAAGCCCTGAGTATGGACACTTGGCAAGTAAAATGGGAGCAGAGTATCTTGCAAAACTTTTGTCTAAGGTCTTCTATCTAAGTTTTCATTTTTCTTTACTAAAGTGTACAAATTTCAATAATAAGATGAACTGATAAATCTCTCTGAGTTTTGCCTTTTCCAGTTTCTTATTTTCCATTTTTCCATTTCAGCATTTAGAGACTGTTATCAGGCAGCGCATACCAAGCATCATTGCTTTGATAAATAAAACAATTGATGAGCTTAATGCTGAGTTGGACCGTATTGGAAGGCCTATAGCAGCAGATGGCGGGGTAAAATTGAGACCTACCAGGATATCTGTCTTTTTATTATGAATGGGATTGTTCCGTTGTAGCAGTTACTTGTCAAATGTGTGTGCAGGCCCAGTTATACATGATTTTAGAACTTTGTCGTGCATTTGACCGTGTCTTCAAGGAACACCTAGATGGAGGGTAAATGCTTTGACCTTTTTCTATGCAATTAAAAATTCATTATAGTCTCTACTTTGTAGGGATTTATTTATTTATTTAATCTATCAAAGAAAGATATAGCCACATACTTTACAAGTGTCATCAAATTTATAATTGTTTATTCCATTTTTAGGTTCTTAAAGTTTGTATCTTTGTACTTGGTTCAAACACAGGTTAAAAAATTTTCTTTGGCTGCTAAGCTTTTATGCGCCATTTTATGGGAATCAATATGTTACTTAACTTCTCTACTCGAAGTCACAAGCCTAACCATCAGCTTTTGAAAATTAGATAATTAAATAATAACTTAAAATTTAACTATTAAAAATTCCAGGAGTCGTATCCATAGACACTTGTAGGCCAGGTTCATGTCTTGGAAATAGCACCCAAGGAAATATGCGACATGTTTGTTAGAGCTTAATAGGAAGTTTGCTTATAAGTAAAATATTCTCTCTATAGTTTGATAAATTGTTAGAGGGAAATTTGAATTTAGCTTTCAAAAGTGACTTATATGCTAAATTCAAATTTCCCACCAACAAATTTTCAAATTTTAGAGAGAATTTTAAGCAAACTTGCTTTTAAGCTCTACCACACATCCTAAATTTCTTTGAATGAACCAGGATGATATGGGGGTGCACCATTAAGATTAGGAGGGATTATTTTCAAAGTTTGCATAAGCTGCCCTAGGGTCCAAACCAAAATAATAATAATAATAATAATAATAATTAAAAGCATGTATTATTTTTTTGGCCGATAAAAGCATAAAATATTATTGTAAAGAATACATACATTATTCATCTTAATTACTAAGGAGAAAGAAAACCATTTCATAAATTGTCAATAAAAGATAAATATCATAAAAAAATAAAAATAAATAAATAACAAATACCCTATAACTGGACCCATCCCAAACCCCAACCTAGTATTTCACTAGCTAGCATTATTCACCAAACTTGTATATGTGATACTGGAAGTAGCTGCAAATGGGTACAGAAGTGTTAGGTATCCGGAAAATCCCTTCCCATTGCCATTCCCTTTTGCAGTTTTGAACTCCATTGTTGACATTAATATTTGTGGCTGCTAAATGTACATTGAGGTGATGAGATGTATGATTATTCCAGGACATATACTACAAATGACTAGCATAGTTCAATCAGTGATGTGTCAACTACTTGTAATAAATTATTTAATTCACTAAACATAAATTTAAACTTCATTGTCAGCCAACCTCTTCACCATGGTTGTTGAGCCAAAAGTATCATGGATGTAATCTGAGTTGTCTTCTTGTATATAAGCTGCTAGATATAGTTAAATTTGATCTTCTTGTAGGAGGGGGAACATGAACATCTGAGCAACAAAAATCACTACAACAAACAAACTGGGATATCATCTCATTAACTAGTGGCTATAAACACAGAAAATCCTTCTCAACATGCTCCATTTTTTTATTTTTTTATTTTTTTTTTACCACGGACCTCTATTAAGCATCCATCCCATGTGAAATTCTTTCTCTTGCCAAGGGTTGAGAGTTTGCTTCTGCAGGTTTTCTTAGGTGAAAGATAAGAAAAAATGCAGTTTCTTATAATTTAGAGATGCAAATTATTTCCATATAATTCTTTTTGGCATGTTAGACATCTGAATGATTTCCATATAGTTTTCTGAGCTGTCTCTCCTGAAATTTTTATATAGTTAAGCTGTAAGTTTTTGATTCAGACGACCTGGTGGTGATCGGATTTATGGGGTTTTTGATCATCAATTGCCAGCTGCTCTTAAAAAGCTTCCCTTAGATCGTCATCTCTCAATGAAAAATGTTCAGAAGGTAGTTACAGAGGCTGATGGTTATCAGCCACATCTGATTGCTCCAGAACAAGGATACAGAAGGCTCATTGATGGCTCCATCAGCTATTTCAAAGGCCCGGCTGAAGCTTCTGTGGATGCTGTAATGTTTTACTTGTTCTTTGGTTTCACTTACAATTTTAAGTTTGTGGTCATGATAAATGCAAATGACAGATCTTTCTTTCTTCTGCATACTTTTTCTTGTTATTTTATCATATATTATAGTGATGCCACTAGGCATGTGGTCTAATGGTAGAGTTACCTATACTCTTAGACATAGGGCTAGGGTTCGATCCCTAGCTTCTACATACCAAAAATATATATTTATATTATAGTGATTACATGGTCAGTGTTTAGCTTGGTTTTAGCATATAATTTCCTTTTTGACCATGTATAATGTGCATATAACTAATTTGACTGCAAACATATGTTTTATTCTGAAGTTATTTTTAGTGGTTAATGGTTAGTTTGATTGGTCGTGTGCTTCATTAGTATTATATCTTTTCTTCTCGAACTCTGGTTTGCATATTTTCCTTTTCAGCAAGTTTATATTTATATAACTTTTTTTATATGAATTGCAGTACCGAGGTACTAATTGTCATCATAATTTCTGTTAGTTAACTTTTAAGATTTATGAGGATTGATTGTCTTGTCCAACATTCTCTTTGGCTTTTGGATTGTTTGAAGAAGGCATTTTTGAGATTCACAAAAAAATAAAATAAATAAAATAAAATTTTTGTAAAGTTAACCTATGGTGGATTCATTCACTGTTGAGTTTTTTCATCTTATCCTTAAGTTTCAAGCATATAAATAATGGAATATCTGTAACCTTTAACGTCTCTAGCAGTGGCTTGTAAAAAGGCTTCTTTTAAAGGGAACTGCTATAATTTTTAATAAAAACCTTTTTCATTGAAAAATTTTTATGAAGGAAATTAATTCAGGGGTATTTATTGCGTACTTCCAATCACAATGGTTCTTTTGATAAATAATCAGCTTTTCTGTAAGAGAACCATAAAAATTACTATTTTGATAAGAATAGATTTTTGGAATTTACAGAGTGTTACCATCCCTTCTTTCAGAATGAAAATCTTTTCATCTAGAATTTGTAACAGTGGTGTAATTGGTACAAAACAGTGCTCAAAGTTAATGATAGAATTTTGTGAGGACCTTAGCATTTACAATAAGAGAGAAGATACTTACCAGCTGATTTATTTTTTATTTCAAATTACTTAAAGAGGTTTTATACTTTTGAATCATAGCCTCTTTGTTCTTTCATGTTCTGAATTTTCAAAAGAAGTTGAAATTTCTCTTTCCTCTGATCTTCACTATGAATGTTCTATGTTTTGATCTCACAGGTACATTTCATATTGAAAGAGCTTGTAAGAAAGTCAATATCAGAAACAGAGGTAAATAATTGTTAGATGTAAACTAACATTTTCTAAGACTCAACTTGTATGCTTTTCAGTAATTATTTCTCATCTCGTCAAACTCGTACTTGTGAATATAAAGGTGTTTGATGTGGTTGGAACTGTAGATTTTGTCCTTCCAAATAGCTGGACATGAGTACAAGCATAAAAATTGAATTCAAATTCAAATGAGTTTATTGTCAGTTCAGTTTTATTGCATCAGAAATGGCTTTTTTTTCTTCTACAGCATAGGAAATTGCTTTAAGTGTCTCTTTTGTTTTTACCTTCTTTTTTTTTTCTTTAAATGTTGGTATATAGTTGATCTAAATTCCAGATCAACGTGACATGTTGACCCAGAATAATTTATCATAGTTTTAACACCTTATAAACCTGACATGCATATACTGGTGTTTGAAATAGGTAGCTCACTTAGAAATATGAAATGTCATTCTAAGTATAGAGTATCATCCAGAAGTTAGCTGAATGTCTGGTTCTGTTTAGTTGCTTAGTATTTGTTGACTGGGATTATGCTATTTTAAATCTCCTTAAAAGGATCAAGATATGGCATCATGTTGAAATTTTACTAGAATGATGTATTTGTTTGGAACATTTAGGCCAGTTTGTTGGAAATTCAGAATTTCAGGTAATGCAATCTGAAAAATTCACAAGTTAACTTTCAAATTTGAATCATTCTAATAAAATACTGTTCTTTCTGTTCTACAGAAGAATCAAGCTAGATATCATCATGCTTTCCCTTAAGTTAAATAAAAGAGTCTTATAGTTTTGAATTTTATTGAGGTAGGAAGAAGTTTTATCTTTAGCTTATGAGTTCCTAGTTTTGTCCTGACTGTGTTGGATTGCAAACTAGGAACAGACAATGGAAGGGAGGGGGGGACAGCTGCCACATTCAGGGGAGCTGCCCTCTTCCCAGATTTCTGTTAAATTGTTTCTTTTCTGTGATAATTGGTCCAGTGATTATGGGAACCTTACATTTTCTTTTTGGGCCACAATGGAACCTTATATCAATTAGGTATTTACTGAACATGGCTTGCAGTCTTTTTTCTTCCCAAATGTACAGGTATGATAATCAGTCAAAAAGTGGATGATGATACTGAAGGAATTGTAGCACTATTGGAATAAAATATGCTAATTCGAGCTTTTGATGATAAGTTGTCACTTTCATAACTTCCTGTGATTATAGAGCTTCCTTCCTTTTAAAGATGGATTTCTATATATGAACAGAATCATTTACCTATTTCCTCATGAATGTGCATCCTTTTACACTCTTATTGGATCTAATTAAACACTTTCACAAATTTACCTACCAGGAAATTTTCAAAAAAGAAGGTCCCCCACTCCCATCTGGAAGCAATTACAACAAATTAACCTTTATATATTGTTTCCCATAAAAAAACAAAACCTGTATCCATTCATTGTTTCTAGTTTTTTTATTTTTTTAAAGATACATTGTTTATAGTTGTTAACTACTGCAATTATATGACTGAAACTACTCATATTTGGCCCCCTTAAAGAATTGCTCCAACATGCTTATGGGTCGATGAATTATTGTCTCTATTGTCTTTCTAAGTTAGTTAAAGGCATCTTTGAAAGGAAAAAAAAAGAATTCTGTTTCTGATACTACTTTTCACTTGCCAAAAAGAAAACTATACAGCTTATTCGAAAAGAACAAATTGTTTCTGAAAGAACAAATTTATGGCAATTACAGGAGTTGAAGCGCTTTCCAACGCTTCAGAATGATATAGCTACTGCTGCAAATGACGCGTTGGAGAGATTTCGTGAAGAAAGCCGGAAAACGGTTCTACGGTTGGTTGAGATGGAATCTAGCTATCTGACTGTTGAGTTTTTCCGGAAGATTCATGCTGAACCAGAGAAGAATGTAAATCAATCAAGCTCAAATACTGATTATCATCTCAGAAGGATTGGTATGTAAAACTTTTATGCGGTGATCAATAATCATTATTACTTATTTTCTTTTTATTTATATACTCATTTCATTTAGCAGTATTCAATTTTGTAAAAAGTTTATTGCTTTAACATGGTTTGTGTTTCCAAGTCATGCACGTGGTTTAGTGAATAGAAGATTAATGAGATACTGACAAAAGTATTCTTCTATATTCTATAGGGTCAAATGTCAATGCTTATATAGGTATGGTTTGTGATACATTGAAGAATTCTATTCCCAAGGCTGTCGTTTATTGCCAAGTCCGAGAGGCCAAGAGATCACTACTAAATCACTTCTATACTCAAGTAGGAAGGAGAGAGGTAAAACACTTAGATTCCCTCTCTAATGTTATCATGT